CACAACTACGCAGCACCAAGTGAAGACACAGTGAAGCTCAGAAGAGTCCCAATAGCCAACATGGGGCCCTGACTCAGTCTTCTCCAGAACCTCCACCCACTGCTTCTGGCTTCATCACCAGGAGCCTTGACCTCTCAGGTGAGGTAAGGCGCCAGCTCTGTATCTAGCCATGACCTTGCTGATTCATGACTGAAACAGCTGATCAGCGAATAACTTGGATAAGCATTTATGTCACTGTGAAGCATAGAAAGTGGAAAGAAATTTCAAGAGTCTATATATATATATATATATATATATATTCAAATAATAAATACAAAAATGTTTAGACATTTACAGAAAACAGTAAGAGTGAAAAGGTCACACGTTTCATCCCCATCTTAGCCAGTGTTGCAAATATCCCTAAGTAGCTGTATGTAATAGAAATGTGTGAAATAATGGCAACTTTTAGTCTTGACTGAACTAAAAAAAAATGGGAAAAATATTTACCAGAAAAAGGATTCTTTTTTTCTCAGATGTTTCAGAAAGTGAAAAAAAAAAAAAAAATCAAGCCAAATGGAACGTCTTGTTTGTTCCAGTACAAAACCGTTAATTTTTGTGTTATTTAACTTCCCTTGCATCTTTTTTTTAAAACAAGTAAAATGGAAATGCTGTTTTAACATGTCAGCTCTGGATGACAGGGACCTAGACTAGGATATGTACATAGAGTAGGCTTGCAATCTGTGCTAACGTGCCAAGAATGGCAGCTGCATACCTGGGTAACTGCTATGTAAGTGCTATGTAAAGTGAACTAGGATTCTACCTGAAATGTTTCATTTAGAAAATGTCAAAATGAAGCATTCTGATGCTGCTCAATTTTTGACCTTTTTTATTTGACCTTTTTTTTTCTCATCTGGCATTCCACTCTCTATTGAATTTATAGTACACCAAAAAAAAAAAAAAAAAAAGAATTGCACCTTTCCACAATAATGCCTGTAGGTTAGCATGAGGACACTGGCTCAATACTAACTGAGACTGATGTCATACTTTGCCTTAGCCACGGTCTCTTCTCTCACTGTGGTTCAGTTGCTCTCCCTACAATAGAGCTATCTCTTTTCTGCACTGAGGTACCATCAGTGCAAAATTTTCACTCTTGGGAACTCCAGAGACAAGAATGAGATCTGGCAAGATGAGATTTTTCAAAGCAGCAGAATTCCAGTATGTAATTTCCCATTATTCACTTCATGAGGCTGTGCTAAAATAGTGACCTTAAAAGCTTAAAATAGTGACTCTCTGGAATTCTTTCCAGCTTGATGTCAGTCTGGTGTTGCTTTGAAGTGTGCTCAACAGGGCTTTCCTTATTTCTCTGGTGCATCTGTCAGCCCTTTCCCCTTCTCCTTTACTGTCTAACAAACCATTACAACGGCATGTGCCTCCAAAAATGGGTAATTTGAACAAATAACGTGTGTGGATCTAGAAAGAGATGCTCACAAGTCACAAACAAAGATGATGATGACCCTTCCACAACAGGTGAACTTCTGGAAAGGCAATGATTTCCCACAGGTTGTCCTAAAAAATACCCTATTGTCCAACCGGAGGTACATAAAATAATAACTGTCAGTGGTCTGTCTAGTTCTGGGTGAGCAACCTGTGGCATGGGCAGCTTCTGTATGTGGCATACAACAGGCTGGAGAGGGGACAGGAAGCAAAGTGGAAGATAGGGCAGGGAGCAGAAAACAGAGCAGCAGATCAGGCAGGAAGCAGAATGCAGAGCAGCAGATTGGGCAATGGAAAGGGATCAGAGTGGCACTTGGTGGAGGCTGTGAAGTTGATTTGTGGCATGCCCGCCAAAACAGTTGGTCCTCATTGACCTAGACCATGATCCTGGCTCTCAAACTAGACAGTGTATTGCCTCAGAAGAAGATGCAAATAGCCCTGCTGTGTAATAGCATATTCACGTTCTAAATCTTATACATTTCTGAGCCTCCCCACTGATAGGGATTAGACATTTGTATGTTATCTTACAGCAGTGAGTTCTACAGGTTCAGTTTCCATTGTGTAAAAATATAGAGGACTCTTATTTGGAGAATAAGCACACCCACAGTCATATTAGACACGGTAACATCTTTACAGACTTATGCGGCAGTGCATAAGGCAACCAATTATTGACAGGGAAATAAAATGTAGAATGAGCTGGGGCCAAAGAAACTTCTTGAGAACTTGTGGCCCATCTCATTAGTACAACATCAAGAGAGCAAAGAAAAAGTATTTTAATTCTAAGTAATAGTTATAGCAAACATGCTCCCATAAAGTGTCAGATTTTCACAGGTATATAGGCATCTAACCTTCCTGTGGACACCAATAGGGCTTTACAAAAGTGCCTGGGTACCTAAACCCCATATTCCTTTAAAAAGCTGGTCCTAAGCTCCTAAGTGCAAGGTCTTTTGTTCTGTGCTTGTACAGTGCCTAGCACAATGGGGTGCTAGGTCATGAAAGGGAAGCCAGGTGCTGCCACCACCATCACCATTCATCACCACCCCTGTCACTACATGTCTTCCAAAGGTTGTTCTCTAATCCATGACCCAGTTGGGTGTTTAGCCTGGAAAAACACATTTTTTTATATATTGATATTTTTAGGAGCTCCTGAAGATCCCAAATTATTAATAGACTAGCTGAATAGCACTGCAGTTTCTAGATGCATACAACTGAAAACAAATATTTAAGAATTAGTTCTTCCTTCATTTACTTACTTCCAAGACCTAATTTCCCCCGTTGTTTCCCCTCATGAAACTTTATGTTGAATATCAAGGAACACAGCTATAGCAGGAGAAAGAATATTGAACTCAGGTCTTGCCTCAGTTATTGTGACATAATAGACAAAGATATGATATCTGCAAACAAACTAGAATAAATGGAGAACAATGCATCCCAAGAAAGAGTAGGGAAAAGGGTGAAGTGAGAGAAAAGAAGAGGAGCACACATTTTTATACGCAAACCTTTGAAAAAATGGTCTAGAACCAAAGCCGGTGATCAGCACAATGAGGAAACTGGGAAATTTGGTCCTTGGGTCCATTTTCAGTGCACACAGCCCCACACAAAAATGCACATACACAGACACTACTATCCACTAAGTGAACCAAATGAATCAAAGAGACCATGTCCATACCATACATGTAGGCTAAGCCAAACAAACAGATGTGAAGAACAAGGGGAAAGCCAAGCTAATTTAATTATTCCAGAATAAGACT